AGAATTATTTTGGGACCAGCAGGTGGTGTGGTGGTTAAGGCACTGGATATTCTCACATGGCTGACCATGGTTTGGGGCCTGGACCTGGTACCTTGCTTTCTCACTTTCCCTCTCTCGCTCTATGTCTCTCTCTGGTCAAATGAAAAGAAATGAATGAATAAACTAAATTAAATAATTCTTTTTAAAAGAGAATTATTTTAACTTTATTTATTTAATTTGGCCAGAGAAGGAGAGAGAGAGAGAGAGAGAAAGTGAGAAACCAAGCCACCAGGTCTAGGACTTGAATGGCAGTCGGCCATGTGGGAGTCCAGTGTCCTTAATCATCACACCACCTGCCGGCCCCATGATGATGTATATTTCTATGCAAAAATGCATCATGACTTTTCTGATGACCCAATAAATAGGCAAGGTGTGGTAGTGTGCATGGTAGTGTGCACCTGTAGTCCTAGCTAACTGGGAGGCAAAGGCAGGAGTATAGTGACATGAAAGATCCTTCCCAAAATCTCTTTCTCAAAAAAAAAAAAAAGTCTCTGTGTATCAAAAGATGGGAGAAAAGATCTGCAAAGCATATAACTGTTAAGAATCTAGTATGCCAAATATATAAGAATTATTACAACTCAACAGAAAAAGGCAACATAGGGCCACCAATAGTGTGGAGGTTAAGGTGGCTGGATCCCACATAGTGAATTCCATGGTTCCAGTCCCAGACCTAGTGGCTTGAACATCATACTGGGAGCACATGTCTGTGTACCCAAATTCCCGAGAGGAGAATGGAGATGGGATTGCAGTATGGCCATGATGGCCATCTCTGCTTGGGGGGTGATTTCTCACTTTCCTCTCTGTCTTTCTCTGGTGAGTACATGTGGCCTACAGCAAAAACAAAAAATAAAATAAAAAATACAAAAGGCAACACAATTTAGAGGTGGGCAAACATTTCTCCAAAGAAAATATTATAGATGGCCAACAAGCACATGAAAAGATGCTTAACATCATTAGCTATTTCAAAGATGCAAATCAAAATTAGAATGGGGTACCTTTCATACCAACTAAGATATTTAAAACAATAATAATAAAGTGGAAAATAAACGTGATGATGATGTGGAGAAACGGAAACCTTTGTACATTGCTAATGGAAATATAAAATTGTCCAGCCACTGTGGAAAGTGTGGCAGTTCTTAAAAAAGTAAGCATAGAGTCACTACGTGATACGGTAATTCAGCTCCTGCGTATGTACCCACCCCACCAACAATTGAAAACAAAGACCCAAACGCATGCATCCGCGTGTTCATAGCAGTATTATCTGTTCCCAGTAGTCAAATGGTATAACATGGTGGATGAATGAATGCACGAATCGTGGAATATACGTAAAAGGTAATATTATTCAGCCATAAAAAGGAATTGTTACCCTACAATGTGGATGAACCCCAACAACATGGTTAAGGCAGCAGACACAAAACATCACGATGGATGATTCCATTTATATGAAGCATCCAAAATAGATAAACCTGCAGGGACAGAAGTAGATTGGTGGTTGCCAGGAGCTGGGGCAAAGGGGATTGAAGAAACTTCGCAATGGGTACTGGGGTTCTTATTTTAAAGTGATGGAAATGCTTTCAGATGAGACAGGTGATGACTGTACGACACTGTTAGTGTACAATGTAATGCTACTACATTGTATATTTTAAAAGTTGACTTTATTGGATGAATTTCACCTTTTTTTTTTTTTAAAGTAAAGTACTCTGACATGCCAAGTTATCATCAAGGAATCCTGGAATCAGCCCTCCAACACCCACCCATGCGAGTTCTCAGGTCAGGTAGCAATTTCATCTCTGTTCCATTTTACCCAGACGTGCTGGTGGCTCTGAAGCTCCAGAAAACAGACCAGGAAAATTTTCGCTGTGTTAGCTCCCATCAGACCACTAGTGATCCCCTTTTAGTAAGTCCTGCGGGAAGAGAGGAGGATCGAACTCATTGGCAGTTTTAGGTCATGCCCTACTGCCAAGGTGCGGCCAGGCTCCCAGGACGTGACCCTCGGCCTCCACGCCTCCTAAGGTCATTGCCCCGATGCAGCGTCAGGGTGACCCTGTGTGCCTCGAGTGATAAGCAGCAGGCCAGGCTGCTCCCCGCCAGCTTACCTTCCCGCGCGCCAGGAGCCCAGATGGGGCTGGAGAGCGCCAGGACCGTGGCGGCGCCCACTGGGCGGGGCCGAGGGCGGGGCCGGGGCGGGGCCTGCGCGGCGCCGGGTCCAGCCGGGCGCTCCGCCAGCGGCGTAAACTCGCGCGGAG